CACACACACACACACTGGGTTTCAGGATTGCAGGGACTTATCTCTGTAACCAAAACACAAAACGAAGCCTTCCAGACATCAAGTTTTTAATTATAGATTAATTTGATGATTATTTTCTACATAGGAAACAATAAAAATCACTATAATCTATAGTCGTTCTCTTCCTGATGTCCGAGTTGTTACCCTCATGAATAGTGATAATGACAAGTTGCTCTACTGCAAATGCCAGCTCATTTGTGGCACAGCTTTTAGAGAACAACAGGAAATATCCAGGATGCCATGTCTTCTGGACTCAGGACATTAACTGCAGCAGGTCAACTGGCCTCCTCTTTGACCTCCAGCTTTCTTATCTGACACCGTTTCCTGCAGTTTCCTCTTCACATAGCCGACGTGTTTAGAATTACTCAGCGAAGCTCAGCTGTGTCTGATCCAACTACGACATACTCGCCTTATCTGACTACTAAATATAGAGCTGCCACACTTTTCCCTCTTTCTGGAAAAAAAATGCATTTCTTGTTCTGGCTCATATGTTGGCAGCAGTTAGAGGAACTATTATAAGTGTATTGTTCAGTGTTTGTGGTTAAGATAACTCCATCAGACCGACTGAAGGTTGTCAGTGATCACCTGATAACGGAGGAGATACACTAAATAAATGTTTGTGCTGAATTAATAAGCTTCAAATCATTCAGTAGTTCAGATTTCCATTGAAAGTGCAGGAAAGGGACGAAGCTAGAGAAATATTCATAGGGACACTTTTAGGGTAAATATACACTGATTTAATCACAAACAATCAATATTTCCTTTGAAAAGCCCCAAAATGAAGATGCTTTAACTCAACAACATGACATTATTGTGGCACATTAGTAAAGTATTAGTATCTAACACGTTTACATTTGTTTAAAAATGAATCTACATCAATGTGTTACATTTCACACCAAACCGGGGTGGCGAGGCATTGTTTGTTGTCTACATGTTACCATAGTTACAGGTGTTGTTTTCTTTTATCATGACGTTAGTTTACTTGTTCTTAGTAATACATCAGATTGACAGTAAATCCAGCTCTCATTTCCAAGAAAGTCACTTTCTCTCCATCATTCCTCACCTAGCATTAACATTAGCATTAGTACACTACAGAGCTGCTGATTATTCAGAGGCTGATTCACTCTCTTGTTCACTAATAACTGATATCTGAAACACTGGCTCTGCCCTGTTCTGTCTCAAGTGAGCAAAACACATCTTTTCAGCTTTCTTCCATACTTATAATAAGTAATACTATTAATAATAATACTTATAATAAGGCTAATCTATGTGTTTATAATGTTTAAAGGAACTCTGCTGTCTGTCCATTACAGACATAAAATACCACAAACATATTTAAAAAAGGAACTTTAGAAACCAATGTTGCTGTGTGTGCACAAGCAAATTGAGAAGTTTTCTAAACCACACAGAAATGCTGTAAAGTTTCGCTGCAGTGTTCACCACAACACAAACACAACATTATCAACACTATCTGCATCATATCAGCTGTGTTATGACCGGTTGCAGGTTGAATAAACAGGTTTTCATTTTATGCCACATCTGCTCTTACTGTGACTCACCAAGTTCCTCCACCAGAGTCCCAGTGAGGATCTTTACCAGTAAATACACGTTAAAACAAACTGGTGACAAACTTCATTGGGAGTGAATTACTTGTGTTATCGACAGGAAGAAGACAACAGCAGAGTTTTAGTGGAAGTGTTTAACTCCTGACGTAATGCCTCAGTCCCGGTGGCTGTGAACTGAGTGTCAGCTCAGTAACACAATAACGAACACACACAGTCAGTCAGTGTATTCCAGAGGGATGTAATGAAGTCTTGTTCTTCTTCAGCTGTTTCTGTTCCAGCCGTCAACGCCGTGACCTTTTCAACACGGGCCGATCAACAGCCTCTCCACTGTCACACACACCTACACACAGTCTGAATTCTCTCTTCACACCTCTAAACACACACATCTGTCCTCTGTCACTGCTAATGACGGCTCCTCTCTCTCTCTTATGATAACGTCTGATGCTCGCTCTCCCTCTGAGAATTAAACCCACCCTTGTGTGTTTGTTTATAGAAAAATATCTGGTAAAAAGAAAACACTATATGGCCAAAAGTATGTGGACACCCCCGTCCATCCTCTGCTGTTTCACCTGTTTTGAGTCCTTCATATTCCATTAAACATATCAAATGAACAGAACATTTTGGGAAAGATGTTTTTTTGCTTTCTCATGTCTGTACTGTAGATGTTAAGCTACAGTCAGCTAACTTAGCTTAGCACAATGGTTGGAAATAGGGAGAAACAGTTTGCCTGGCTTTGTCAAAGGTAACAAAGTCTGCCCTCCAGCAACTCAAAAGATTGTTAATTAACATGTTATACACATGTTTCTACGGTAGCCCAGAATGGACAAATCAAACACTGGCTCTAGATAGGGCAGTGTAGTTGTATTGTTTTAGTTAGTTGCAATCTAAAATCTCCCTGTTAGATGCAATTATATCCTACACACTGCTCCTTTAATGCTCCAGCATATAATAATAATAATAATAATAATAATAATAATAATAATAATATTTTAGTTCTTTGTTACAACAGTTTGAGATGACATGACAGTGTCCTTCATACATAAAGCCAGGTCCATAAACAAATGTTTAGTTTGTTGTGGAAGAACTGGGATACAAACAGCCTATCAAACACCTCTGGGATGAACTTGAACATCAAATTTGAGCCAGACCTCATCACTCAACATCACTGTTGGACGTCACTAATGCTCTTGTGGCTGAATGGGAGCAAATCCCTACACCTCACTTTTAAAGAGCTTGTCTCTCTCTCTATATATATACAGTATATTAGGTGCATGAACGTCTCCCTGAGGAGAAATGGGCTTGTTAATACCTGGTGACAGATGGACAGGTGGACAGTCCGTCTCTTTGTAAGACAAATAGCAGCAGGTTGTTTTAGAACAACAGTCATCAGGTTCCCTGCCAGAGGCTTTAAAAACAATCAGTCATCCCTGAGTGTTGTTTCATGCTTGTACACACACACACACACACAGACTGCAGACACTTTATATAACCAAACAAACAAATCACTCCTGACCACAAACCAACAAATAATGAACAGAAAAAAACATTCTTGGGGCGCCCAGGTAGCTCATCTGGTAGAGCCGGCCCATGTAGCAGGGCTGAGTGCTTGGTGCAATCATTCAAACAATCAAACTTCATTTATATGGTACATTTCATACAGTTTAGTGCAGTTCAAGGTGCTTCACAGACAATTGACAAGACGATAATAAGACAGAATGGAGTAGAAATTTTAAACTGCAATGGTAAAAATTACTATAAAATACATGTATACACACGGTTTAACTGCTGAAGTGTTGATAGGGCGGCATTACTATAAAGGATATATCCATAGTCAATAAGAGACTAAGAGAGGTTGACTGCACAATATGGTTGGAGGAAGACGTCCTTTAATTCTTACGTTCTTTCCTTTTTAATTCAAAGGAATTGAGGAATGGAAAGACGAGGCACAGTGAGGACAGGAAGAGAAGAACCAAAAAGATTAAAAAAACAGAGACTGACAGACTGTTAAAACAGATAAAAATGGAGAAAACACTGAATGTTTGTAGAGCTGAGGAGGAGGAGATGAGAAATGGAGTGTTGGGACGACAGATAAGCGTGTTTGTCAGTTTCTGTGATGATGATGTCACTGGGTGGACCAATGAGATCATCCACCACCCTGCACATGTGTGTGTGTATGTCAGCGTGTGTGTGTGTGGCGTTCACTCCCTTCCTCCTTCCTCCCACACTCACTGAGAAAAGTTCAAAACAACAACTCTTCTTCTTTCTCGTCCAACACTTCCACACACATCAGAATGATCTTCGTCACTTCATGCTCCTCCGTTAACTCGAACCTGTTCAGTTTGGTTCTGGCTTCACTTCTTTAAAAGGTTGAATTTGGGGTTGAAATTGTTTTGGGTAACTTAAGGTCCACGTACGAGCTTCTTCTAGAGCTTTCACCAACTTCTCATCAGCCTAGGACGGTTGAAAGCTAAAGTGAACACTGGTTAGTGGACATTGAGTTAAGATTATTTTACCATCCAGTGAAAAAACCAAAACCAACAACACTGAACCCATTTCTTCCAACCAAAGACATCTTATATTATATATATAATATATATTATATAAAAAGGCTCAGTAATATCCTAAAACATGTTGTTATTATAGTTATAGTTATTATTGTTATTATTATAGTTATATTATAGTTATTATGGTCCAGTGTGAAACATTTAGGAGGATCTATTGACAGAAATGGGATATAATGTTCATAGTTGTGTTTTCATTAGTTTATAATCACCTTAACTGAAGGTAATTCAAGTTACCTTCCATGGAGTCCACCATGTTTCTACAGTAACCCAAAAGGGACAAACCAAACACTGGCTGTAGGATTTAAGGTAGCAGAAGTCACTACAGTGTGAGTGTTCATGGTAATGAATGAACATGTCAGTGCAACAGTGTGTCTCACTGATGTGTTTTAATAGTTTTTGGACAATAATGGAGCTCTACGGCACAGAGGAATAAGATACAGCGATCAGCCAATAACATTATGACCACCTGGGCTCCCTGGTGGTTCAGCAGTTTGAGCTACAGTAGCTCGGGCCAGCCTTCACTCCCCACATACATCAATGAGCCTTGGCCACCCATGACCCTGTCTCCGGTTCTTTTCCTTCCTTGGACCACTTTTGATAGGTACTGACCTCTGCAGACCGGGAACAGCCCACAAGAGCTGCAGGTTTGGAGATGCTCTGACCCAGTCCAGCCATCACAATGTGGCTCCTTGTCAAAGTCACTCAAATCCTCATGCTGCCCATTTTTTTTGCTTCTAACACATCAACTTTGAGGATAAAATGTTCACTTGCTGCCTGATATAGCCCACCCACTGACCATGATAACCAGATAATCAGTGTTATTGACGTCATCTGTCAGTCCTCACAATGTTGATAAGGCTGATACATACACATAGTAATAAAACTCTCCAGTATATATCTCCAGACTTATCCCTTAAAGTCACACTTTTAACTAATCTCATAATTATAACTTAGTGTTTCATAATTTCCAACTTTTTCATCAGTTTTTTCTTTTCTTGGTTTTCTACACTCGGTCCAGCTCCCGTCAGGCTGTTGAGTCCTCTGATCTTTTGACACTCTGTTGGATTGCTAATAATGTAGAAACATAAATGGACAAAATATGTAGAGTTATATAAATGAAAGTATAACATCATTGCATTCTTTCTGTATTTTGCCTCCTCTCAGATGTCTGTAAAGCAAAGTGTAGGAGGTGCAGCGGTGTGTCTCGTATGTAACGGGAGCTGCTCTGGATTCCAGCCACATTCTTGGAGGTACAAACCTTTCCCTGTGTTCTTTTTTATTTCCTATGTTTTATTTCCTAAATAAATAAAGAAAAACAATGAAAGGAGTGAAAAGAGAAAAACCAAAAGCGCTGGATACAGTCCTAGTAGTTTTTCCACTCCTCGCTCTCTCTCATCTCAACCACTCTCTGTTCTTACAGGAACATGTTTGTGGTATTGCATATTTTAGTCAACAGACTCTGACTGAAGATGAGATTGGAGTCGGCTGTCAGACAGCACTGCACTCACAAGCTCAAAAACTACATTGAAAGCAATAAACCCAGGTGTTACGACCACCAAAGCTTCCCAACAACAGCATACGAGAAAGTCAATATAAAGCATAACACAATATGTTTCTGTCAATTAATCACTTAAACTTGTTGATGGTGTCCTTGCTAGTGAAGTATTGATTGATAGAGTTGAGTAGAGTTCACGCATCCAGGGTTCATAGTCTGATAAACGATGTTAGGCAACGGCTCTTTAAGGCTTAGATGGACATTAAACTCTCCTGGTTGAATCATCACTACAAAAGTTAAACAATTAAACTCACCCAATTAGTCAGAGAACAACATCTTTTTCTTTTATGTCTCCTCATTTAATTGCCTTCTCTTCTCTCTTCCCATTCTTCTTGACCAACCCGCTGAGCAGGAAAGCCTGTGTAGCCTGCGGCTGCAGCACGATCGACCACGCCCCTGGAAGTGACGTCGAAGATGACCAGCGAATGGGACGCCTGCTCGCAGACTCGCCCTGCTCCCATTTGACAGCGAAGGTTAAAGGAGGTGGCGGCCTTCGGATGTACAAGAGGAACCGCATGATCGTGACCAATCCGGTGGTGTCGCGTAAAGACCCGACCTTCAACACCACGACATACGATTGGGCACCAGCCGGCCTCAACCAGACACTGGTGAGGGTCAGTGTGAAGTACAGGAGGTTGGTTGTTTGTATGAAGCTGCAGCCTGTTGGTCTGCGTCAGACTGTAAAGTCACATTTTACTCACCTGCTGAGATCTGAGGACAACAAGGACTCGCTGATCCAAAAAGGCCAAACAGCACAAAAAAAAGTTTTAAACAAACTCATAATAAGTATGTGATCTAAACCCGTTGTTCCCAATCTTTTTCCTTAAAGGACCCCTGACGACCCCTGACTTAATGACATATTTTATGCATATTTCACATTATATTAAATGCATAACAATAACAGAACAGAACAACTGATTGACTCATGAACAATGAACCCAAACAGTGAACACAATAACTGCAGGAAGTTTGGATCTTAAATAATAATATAAGCTTTAAAAATAACAGTTTCATTTAGTTTTCTTCACAGAAATGAATAAAATGTTGAGATATAGGTAGGTTTTTAAGTTTTCTCACACCACCTAAAATCAAGAAGTCCTCACAACGCCCCATGAAGCTTTGGTGACCCCGAGTCGGGGTCGGGACCCACAGGTTGGGAACTAGTGCCCTTAATCTTTAAATCTTGGAGCTAATGTTTAAACTACAACCCAAACTATCTGTTATAAACATGCATTAGATATTACTTATTATACTAATAGTCTTTAATTGTAGGAATTATTCAAAGTTAAAGTCAGCTTTAATGTC